ATATCATAGTGGTGCCATAATTGGTACCTCGGCTGAGTGAGAAGTGAAGTACTCCAAGCTAGTTGTATTAAGTGTTCATTTCTGAGAGGCTGACAAAGATTTATGGCTTCTTTTCTGTAAGTCCCATTTAGTCTCTGTAGCACTACATCTTTTACTGATGCACATAAGAAACAGTTACTGTTAATGACTGGACCATTTCTCTGAAGGGTATGTTTAAAATCTGATTATTCTGGAGGAGAGGGGGAAGCCTTGTAGACCTTGGGCCAGCTTTTGCTAAGGCTGTGTTGTTTTTAGAGTACCTCTGTAGGTGCTGCTTGACTACTTCAATGCAGTCTGTCCCCTTCACTTGCTGAAGGACAGCAGCCTTGTTCTCCCCACACTTCTTGGCCTGCTGGGGCACTTTGGGGCTCTGTGATGGCTTCAAGGCTTTCAGTCTCAGATAAAGAATCTTCTGCAAACCATTATTACTGTCTGCCTGGCTGAAAAGCTGTGTTAGCAATGTAATGGCCTCTTGGTCAAGGCAATAGGCCCTGGACTGGGGTCCGAAAGCAACATGAGGGAACTGGGTCTGCTCTGGGGTCGCCATGGGGGCTGAGCACAATGTGTGGGGAGAGGAGAACGGCTCCTTGAGGGTCATCAAAGGAAAGCCTTGGGGTCAGAAGTGGCTGCAAGAGCAGGGGAGGTGCCTCCTCCTGGTGGTGGAGGGTCCCACACCACCGGGGATGGTGTGCAGCCCCAAAGAGAAGATCCTGGTGTCCAGAGGTGCTGCTGCTCTGCACCAGGAGGGGAGGGAGCAAGACCAGGCAGTGACCACAGTGACCATGTAGGGCTTCCCCTGAGATGCTGCTGGGAAGCTGGGGGATTCCTGTGCAGCCCCTTGCTACACCCACTGCTTCTGCCAAAACCCCTGAATCTCTGACCTGCTAAGGAAATCTCTTTGAAGGCCTCTGGTCAGGCCAGGTCTCCTTGTCAGCACTCTGCTGGGATGCACTCTGCCATAGGAAAGCAGTAGTAAGGTGTTTTTGTGTTCCAGGACTTTTGAAAAAAATAATGAATAAAGGTTAAAATTTAATTTTTTGTATGAAAAACTGTATCTGTGCACAACATGTATGTGTGCAACTTGCATATACTTTTCAGAAAGAGCAGTGCGTTTTATCTGTCAGTACTTGCTGCTGCTGTGGTCTTTGAACTTGTAATCTTCCTAAACATCTCCTGACCCTCCAAGCTGTCTAGCTGGTATTTATTGTTTTACCGATGTGTTTATCCTCCAGTTTTTTCTAATCCTGCCCTGGTTTTCACCCTGAGACCAGGGGAGCAGTGGGGGGAGGGAGGGGAAGGTAAGTGTGTCCCCAGAAGCCTTGCACCTGGCTGAGAAGGAAGACAGGGACATGCAAGTCTCCAGTGGCTGACAAGCTTATCCATCTCTGGATGCACAATAAAATAAGTCCAGGCATTAATTTTGCCTGGTTTTGTCCCCACGAAGCAGTGTGCTTTGTCTGCACTCCTGTGGGCCCAGCAGGAGCAGCTTTCAGGCGGGCAGTGCATGTCGCAAACCCATCCAGGTAGCCTCACTTGTTTGTTCTAACTAAGTGTTCAGCCTGATAGTTTAAAGAAAGCAGAATAATTTAAAAATAATTTTTGTTCTTAATGTGTTTTGACAAACATTTAATGCTACCGAGGGTCCTTGTAATTGTCTGATTTTGACTTCAGGTTTTTTGGGAATATTAATTAGGAGTTACAGTTTTACATAATGCAATCTGGTGGAAATGTTTCAGAAGGTGAACAAAGAAGCATGGAAGTATAGCTGTACAGAATCAATAGGTTCACATTGCTGCTCGTTTGGTTAGTGGCTTCCCAATATTGCCCCTGAACAGTATTGATTTAATTTTCTCACTGTGGATGCAGCATAGCTTTGCTTTACACCACAGAGACACGAGTTTGATGTTTTCATTTCATAGTGATTTTCATGCAGGCTGCCTTTGAAATTGCTGGCCTTACGGACACAATTACTGGCTTTGTGAAGATGAGCTCTGGCTTTGCTGCTTATCCCTACAGTTGTTTCTGTCCTGCCTCGGATAACCATGTGGGGGTGTTCCTGAGCATTCCTCTCTGTCCCTTTCCTTAATATGGGGAAAAGCTTTTCAGACAGTCAGTGGTTAAGAAGATAAAGGAATGTTTTTTAAGGGTTGGAGCTTGCTCCATTTGACAAGAACTTTGCTGATTTAAATTACAGTGAGAAAATGTAGAGCCACTGAAGGGCTATGAGGACTGCTAAGTCGTGGTTTAGTCTTAAGTGTGGTCTGCAGGTATTCTCTGAAACTATGTACGTGACAATGATTTCATCAGGTAGGTTGAACCAGCCTGGCTGACATTTTCACTTAAACTGGATAAAAGCCTGCTGCTGACTGGAAGATTAGTAGTCTAAAAAATGAATCAAAGGTGCTGGCTGTTTTTGCAGGGAACGGTAGCATAAATGCTGTGGGAGAGGAGAGGCACAAGGAAGTACTATGCTAACCATTTCAGGATTCACTTTTTTTTTTTTTTTTTTTTTTTTTGAAAGACAGCCCTGAGCTTTGCTCCCAATTATTCCTGACGTGAGCTTTGTAGCTATAGTGTTTGCTTGGCCAGTGGTGCCATGCGTGGTAGGGAAGACTCTGACTCTGCCTCTCTAGTTCCAGTCATTTGTGGATAAGAATAGCAAGGCCCAGATTAGGTCAGAGAAAGATCAGTGAAAGAACACTCCGGTCTGGCACCTCACTTGTCTGAAAGCTAAATGCTGGTGAGCGTGTTTCCTGGCAGGTAGGAAACTAAAGTATGTAGGGGGAGCTGAAACACAAGAGTCTTGCAGAGAACAGTGCTTGAGGTAATTGTGTGGCACTGGAGGATGGCAGTGCTGGAACATGCTCCACTCCCTTGGTGCTCTTCCCTGGTGCCTTTTTGCACAAGGAATGCTGAAGTAGGTGGGGAAGACCAAAAAGATATTTGCCACCAGGGAGCAGCCCCACTATCTGACTTAGCTGTTCTGGTTTAATTGTGGCTAACTTCTAATTAATTATAAAGGGAATTGTAGCAAGCTCTGTGTCCTCAGCTGTTCTCCATCTTATAGTTCCTCTCACTTTTGCCTTACAGTAATGAAAGGCTTGAACTCACAGCAGTGCTTCTGATGGAAAAGTCAGTGGGTTTGGGGCTCAGCCCTGTGGGGTAGAGGCTCTAGGTGTTTAAAAGGTGGAGCATATGCAGGCTGAAGTACATTTGGTAGCAGGAAAAAGTTGATCTGAAAAAAGTGTGTGGGTTTTGCACTGGAGGAGGATGGGGGAGAAGGAACTTGCCCTCTTTCTGAGGGAAGCACAGCAGAAATGGTGGGGGGGAATCAGGGACATGGAGAGGTTTCCACCAGCAGCCCTCATTTTCAGCAGCATGGTGGCTCCTCCTGGTGCTCCTCTCAGCTCCTAGAAGGCTGCCCAGTAGTCTTGACCATTTTATGCAACAGTGATCTGAGTCATCACATTGCACGTATCTTCTCTGAGTAGAAGGAAAATTGCTTTAAGTTATTGGCAGTTTTGAGGAGGGGGAAAAAAATCTGGGGATCCTATTTTCTTCAGCAAATTGGCTCTCTTAATCAAAATCATGTATCAGCCAGAATGTTTCAACATAAATGAAATCTTCTGTTAAGAGCACCTTAGCACCTTAGTTTCTTAAAATGAAGTGTCATGGATTGAAACATTATCAGAAAAAGTAATTTCTAACCTGGTAATAGGAAAACCTAATTTTTATAAAATATTGAAATTGATAATTATTTTCATGAAAATGTAAAATTCAGAAAAAGTAATTTGGATCAGAAATGCTTGGGTAAGAGCAAATCTCTATCTTTTGTGTTCTGAAGGGAGACCTTACATAATTTTAATTCTCAACAAGGAGATAAAGGTAACTTTGTCAGGATTTCCCTGGTATGTGCAGGTTGGTTGAGAAGTCCTGGCATACCCAGTCATGTCAGCCGAGACTTCTGGTGCCTCAGAGGGAAATTCAGTTCTGCTGCTGGATAACCCGGCATGATTTCCTTGTCTCTGAGTTGATTAACTCCTTCCTCTTCAGGTGATGGGTCTTGTAAAGACTCAGGCTTGTAAAACCACCTGATTTTTTTGTGTTTGGGAGTGGACTGTGTTAGTCTTATATGGGATTTTTTTAAAAAGCAAGGGCAGTCGTAGAAGCAGGGGGGAAAACTCTTGGAAGTTTCCCAACCTGATTAACATGAAAAGACATTTTTGTTTCCTGCTGTCAGTATGTGACTGTGGCACTCAACAAGCCCCTCATGGATGAAGAGGATGTCATTAGTGGAGCTCTTTGCCAAATATTGCTTTCTCCCTCTAGCTGTGACAAGGTGCTTGTTTGGGTCATCTGTTTCCCCCATCACTCTGCCAATCTGAGCCCCACATCAGTGGGTTTAATTCCTAATGCAGGAGGAAGAAATAATGCATGAACCCTGATAAATTTCTGCTAGCAAACTGTCCCGTTTGGACTTGCCTGCTCTCTCACCCTAAGGCTGTCTCCAGCCTGAAATCTGGCATGCAGTGCTTTGGCTTTTCACATGCAGATTTTGAAGCATTTGGTGCTGAATTGTTCCTGGTGATCACATCCAATTTAGGAATGCTATTTCTGTTTTCTTCCATAATGAGACAGCCCTGGCTGGGACCTCCCGTCTGTGGGCTTGTGTATGAGCTGTACTGGCTGTGTTTGCACTGCAAGTGAGCTTTGGGCAAAGGCAGTGTTGGATTGTGTGGTCAGAAGGGACATCTATGCCAGGGAGCAATCTGCCCCTTCTTGCTCTCAGAAAACAAATTTGTCTTCTCTCCATATTTCTGTAACCAGTATAGGCAAAGCTCGAATGAAAAAATGTTATTTTGGGGAAAATAAACTTCAGATATTGAGCTTTTCCCTTGATATTAGGTTTGGATCTTGGTAAGAAGGTCTTGATCTTGCTCTTAGCTGAAATACAGTTCTCTTTCAGTTCAGGCACTGCCTCTTTGGGGTCCCTTTGCTTTGGAAATGAAACTGATGTAAATGGAAGGTAAGCAATGAATGAAAGGACCTTAATGTTAGCATTTTAGCTATCAGTTGGCTCTTTTACATTTGATAGATTTTCCCATCACAGGCAATCTGTGTTCTTGCTTGCTCAGATCCGCGCTGATGCCAAGTACTAAACAATGACACTATCTATCTTTCTGCACAATTTGCCAATTTTGGTTACTTTTGAAGCCCAGTGTTTCTGCTTTAGCCTTGTGAATCTCCCTTATAGGGAGAACAAAATGAACAGAAGAGTGCTTTCTTTAGCAAAATATTTAGGGTTGATGTCCCTCTGTAATTTATCTCCTTGTTTTATAAACTGCAGTACTTAATCCACTTACAGTAAAATAAGTCAAAGTAAAGATGTAGTAAAGAGTTGTTGTTTGTTGTTTACAGTGAATTGCCTTTCAGATAATCAAATGAAGTACTTTATTGCAGTTTCACTTCCAGCTATGACCTTAAATAACGAAGGTTTGACTTGCTGCTTACTAGGCTTAGGGTGATGTTTTCAAAAGCTCTCTCTTGATTGTACCTCTTCCTTCAACAATCAGCAGGATTTTGCCAGTGACCTCAGATGAGCTAGCTTTAGAGCAGCAGTGGTTTTGAATCCTCCTCCTGCAGAGGAATGAGAAATGGGATCTTTCTTTCACAGGGAACATTGCAGGAGTTGGCAAAAGTCTCCCTCTCCCCGCCCTCAAATTCACGTTGTCTATCAAACATAGCTGCATTTTGGTCTTTACAGAGTCCCCTACGAAATATCACAAGAGACAGGCCCATACAGCAGATTAATTATCTTGCCTCCTAGTTGCCAGAGGTGCTTAATTTCTTCTTTGGAATTGAATATGACTCCTGCAATTAAATGTTACTCCTCGACTTTAATGTTAAATTAAATGTTACTCCTCAACTACTGAGTCATCTCACTTTTTATCTAGGTGGAAGCAAGGCATTAAGAGCAAAATCAGAAGTGGACTTTGATACCACAAGTAATGGTGTTACTGCAAATTTCCCACCTGTTATACTCAGATACATGGAAATGAGGTTATTTGCTGTTTCCTTATAAATAATATAAGCTGAATAATTAAGTTCATTGCAGTTTCTAGTGGTACAGCCAGTCTGACTGTATTAGATGGTATTTGATTTTGCCAGATAGCTGTGACTGAGTTAAATGTTTAGAATCCTTTCTTGATTATTCTAAATTCAATGCATACTTTAAAATGTGAAATGTTATGGAAGATTATTGCTTCAGTTGGACAAGCTACAAATGAGAGCATTGTTCTTGAATGCAGTCACTCTCGTCCTGCAGTAGTTTACCTAAAAGATAAGTTGCAATCCCATAATTTCAGAGGGAGTCAAGTAGGACTCCCAAGTTTAACTGGGGGGAAAAGATATTGAAGTATTTTCTGCATTTAATTTGAGATTTTTTCCCTTCCCATTCTTTACATGATGCTGCATCATTTTCTGGGACTTTGATAACTTTCCTGCTTTCAGTAAAGTCTGCTTTCAGTTTCCTGGTGGACATCTCAGTAGCTGTTACTATGTAATATGTCATTAAGAAATGTGTTTGAGGCTTGCAGAGGCAGGCACATGTTACACTGGCAAATTTCACAACAGGTGCATTTTCTCTTTAGGTGGTTGCTACTGTTCCTCAGCTATGAGGCGTGAAAAGAGGACAAGTGTCTCATAGTCCTTACTCAGCGCCCAAGACAATTCTCTTAAAAAGCACGTTTGTCCTGATTGTCCTCACAATTAATTTCTGCTAGAAAGCACTCAAGGAATTAATTAATTTTAGCCTTTCACTCATCCAAGTATTTTACTGTTTAAAAACTTGGTAGTACCCATTAAAAAACCACAAATGCTTACTGAAGTAAGATTTTTCCTCTGCAAAACTTGCTTTTCTTTTGCAAAAAGCAATTATTTGGCTTTTAAAAAATACTTTTCGCAAGAGTTAAGGTGCTGGTCACTTTGGAGAAGAGCTGGTTACCATATATATATTGTGATGATGCCAAGTTGGGATGTGAGAGCGGAGGCTTCAGCTGGAAGCTCCTGGTGAAATTCCATCCAGGTTTAAATGTTCTGTTTTGTTAAGACCCCTCTTGTAGTTTCAGCTGGAAACATGTGGCCTTTGTTTCGCTTCAGAAGGGAAGAGTGTGTGTGATCTGTATTATATAAATATTTTATCCATGCTTCTCATAGAAAATGTTTTCTTTGTAGTACCAAGAGAAGTGTTGACTCTCAGCTGTAATGCAGTGGCCCTTTCAGTTTTGAAGTCTCTGTTGTGTGTAGTGATGCGATGCTCCTCATTAGGAAGAAGATTAAAAAAAAAAAGTTGCAGTCTTTCAGCTTGTGTTTGAGGGGTATTTCCCTAAGGGGTTGGACTGGGTGCAGTTCTGGCGGACTGCTTCTGCAGGAGTTAGAGGTGTTGAGTGTTTATGACTGGTTATCAAAGTTGGCTGGAAATGGTCCACTAACTGGCTGAAGCTCGATTTCAGAGTTGAAGGGCACACATAGAAATCCCCAGCCCCTCTCTCTCTACAGCTCTGTTCTCTGCAAGAGTGTTTTTATGCCATTCTTTGTTGTCTGGATAATATGAGGGAGGAAGGGGTAAGGAGGAAGAAAGCTGTTTTTTACTGTGAGAATGCCCAATACCTTCCATAACTAGGCTTTGGCTGAGATGGTGACCTGTGTTAGTAGACTACAAGTAATAACAAAAGTATCTGTGCAGAAAATGAGTGCAGTAATTAAATCTCCTTCTTTTTATTTCCCCTCCAAAGATCAAAGAGGTTTGAGTCTTGATTAATGTGCAACAGAATTCATTAACATAGTAAAATGTGGAAAACCAGGCTATTGGTTATTACTACACAGACATTTGCTTTAGGGAACTATAAATACTTTTTGTTCAGTAATTTACCCTATTGCTTTTGCCATTGTTTCAGTGTATGCAACTCACTCGAGAATACCACACCTAGAAATTTAGATGCAACCTTTATTCTTCTGTATGCATATCATTTTTTTAAAAAAAAAAAAAAAAAAAAGGATGCAGAATGCTGCTTCTGTGTTCCTGTCTTGCTTTCCCAGGCAGTGTGTGCAGGGCTTTGCTTCGCTTGCCTGCTCTTTTTATACGACATCAAGTGCTGTTTATTTTTCTCCTAGCAACCTACTGGGCTGCTCTTTGTCCCTAGGTCTAAAAAGAAGATTTTTTTTTTTCTTTGTAGGTATGAATGTTTATGGTTGACTGCTTTGTGTTGAAAAATGTGAGAAAATTTCTCACCTACTAATGCTCATTTTTGAGGTAGTCCCAAAAGAAGAAATTATAGCTAAGATTTTTTCCAACACAGCAAGGTCAAGAGTTTTTCATAGATTTTACTTCAATCCAGAGTCTTTTTTAATTTGCATTATTTGCTTGAATAATGTAGCCCTCCTAATATTTTCCAAGCCACTTACACTTAACTAATCACTTACACTTATCTTCAGCATAAACCTCATTGATTTTATTTCTTATTGAAAACATCAGTAGTAGCAAATACAATCCTATTGGCTCACAGTCTATTAGAAATAAAATTATATTAAATGTCTTGTGGTGTGTGAAGAGGTTAAATCAAGGAGAGTCATCTGAGAAAGTCATCCTGGTATGCAAAACATAAATCTGGTTTATATTTAAACTATGTGTCACCCACCAGCTAAAAATAGCAGTGATCATTAAAAGCCAATTTGCTGCTAAACATTAATAGACATTTATTACATCATAACAGATCTGGAAGACAATTAAACTTATCTTTTTCCTAGATAACTCTCCTTTGAAAATGTGTTATTCACCTGGCTTTTGCCATTAATCTCATTTACTAATGATTTTTGTTCCTCTTGATATTGTGCATGTATGCATAGAGTTGTGTGTAAGGTGGTTTCTTGTTGTCAGTGTCGTTCAAGAGCAGTACATTTTCAATGGGAAAAGTTATTATCCCTCTTTATACTGCCTGTTAACTTCCTAACCAGCACAAAAAGTGAAGGTACTTTACAATTTCTTAGAGTAAAACAAGTCATATCTGCTACCATCCATTTGAGAAGAGAATACTAAGCAAGAGCAGGATAAAAAATACAGTGGATGCACATTTTACACATAGGAAATAGATTACAGTTTTCTGGCTGTTTTCATTGCAATTCCTCAATCAAGTGGTACCTTTTCCCTGTGTTATTCCTGCATATAGTCCTATTTACAAGTAGTGAGTGAAGCTGGAGCAAGTCAAAGGCTGAGGAAACCCAGCACTGTCAAAAGTATCGCTTCCTACAAGAAATGCAGTCGTGAGCCTGGTATTTGTGGTTCATGTGTCGCTATCTGTCAGGTCCCACAAAACAAGCCATCAAAGCGGGTGGGCAAGGCTTTGTGCTTCAGCTCAGCATTGCTCAGTTCTCTGTAGCTGTCCATGTCTTTAACTGTGCTCTTTAACCTTCCCAGCCAAAGAACTGTGGGGCCAGCTGGGCTGTGAAGGAGAGTGCCCCAGGGTGGGCACAAGTAGCCCTTTCCTCCTTTTCTGAATTGCAGGGCTCACAAAAAGTGGCCCACTGTCATCTTTGTAAGTAAAAAACTTCCCTGACGTAATGCTGCTTTTGGGGAGCAAACAAAATTTTGTTCCTGGCCGATGCATAGAGAGAAGGAGGCTGCTAATATGAGCTCTGGGCTGCCTCCTGACGGATTCAGGCAAAAGAGAAATGGCTTCTCCCTGCATTCCCCTGCAGACCTCAGCAAGAAATCCCATCCTTGTAGTGAAGGTAAATGTCACTAAACTTTCTCTGTGTATATCTGCAGCTGCTCGTCAGTCTGGAGCAATGCAAGTTAAGGAGGTTCTTTCCTGCCAGGAAGAGGAAAGGAAGAAAATTAAAGGTGGTATGAAGGAGACAGTAGGAAGGATAAATGAATATTGAAAAGCATGTTAAAGGCTGCATCCAGAGGCATTTAGGAGTAGTCCTTTTCTGGTCCCAATATCAGACTTTGAACCCTCTTTGAACTCT